CACCGCCGGGCTCCGTAAGTGCCGGCACAGCGCACCGAACAGCCTGGGCTGATCCTGGACACGGCCCCATGCTGTGCCAGAGGGGGACCTGAAGCTCTCCCCTTGCTGGGCGGCACACGGTGGCCCAAAAAGTGTCCCCACGCCCAGGTCTCAGCCCGTGGCTCACCTGGGGAAGGGGTCCTATTGCCCCCAAGCAGCTTGTGGAAGCCCTGGGGTGGGAAATGTCGGGGTTTGGGCTTTGCTGTCACCCTGGCCGGGTGCTGAGGGTTTGGGGTATCTGTCGGCAGGGCAGTTCCTGAGGTCCCAAAAAGCTGCCAGGGATCACCGCCGGCGGAAAACCGCATCCCGGAGGGTCCGCTTGGTCCTCCCCAGCCCGGCGTTGGAGGGGGCGGACAGCGAGGAGCGGAGACGATTCGCAGCCTTCATGGACCAGCTGGGCACGGACAACGCCTCTGATGAGTAAGCCACCCTGCTGAGCACCCATGGGTGTCCCAGGACAGGGCAGAGCTGCCCGAGGGGGACAGGCTTCGGGTGGGAGGTGCAGCGAGCCCAGGAATGGCTCGGAGGTCCCTTTCCCCAAGTGCAGGAGCAGGATGACGGTCATGCCAAGACTCATCTGTCCCCCAGGACCACATCCCAAACGGTGTGAGCTAAATGACCTGGGACCCCATTGCCAGCCTGGTTTTGGGGGGTTCTGGGGGGATGCTCAGCACAAAACACCCCCCTCCCTGCAGGCAGGAGATCTGGGAGCTCTGGGTGAAGCTCCGACAGGATGAACCCCAACTCCTGGGAAACCCGGAGGACTTTCTGGCCAAGATGAGGCACCGCATCCAAGAAGCCAGGAGCAAGAAGGAGGCTTTGGAGGTGACCCTGAACAGGTGAGTCACCCCTGGGCGGTGGGGAGGGATGGGACGGGACGGGATGGGATGGGATGGGATGGGAAGGATGGGGGTCCCTGCTCACCCCAGCCATGGGGGCACACCCAAGGATGGAGACACGTGGGTGCTTTCAGCATCTCCATCAGCGGCTGGAGCAGAGGTTTCATGCTGAGCAGACGTCTGGGGTCGGGCTCCCTCTACAGTCACTCCTGGGATGGCGAAAGTGCCAGTCTCAGACTGCTGGACACATCCTTGGGGGGACAGCCCCTCCGGTCACACCCAGCTGCAGCCTGTGGGTCCTGTGTGCAATGTGGGGTCCCAGGGACCTGCACCCCCTGCGGCAGGGTCTGACCACCCCCCTGGCCTTGCTGTCCCCGCAGGCGTGTGGCTGAGCACGACAAGGAGGTGCAGCAGCTCTGCGGGGCCCTGGAGCAGCAGATCCGGCCGGAGCAGCAGCAGCTGGAGCAGGAGGTGGGAACCAGCACCCCCAAACCCCTGGGGCAGCTCCCAGACGTTTGAGTGGGTTCCAGTGTCCTTGTCACCATCCCAGAGTGTGGTCAGGAGCCGGCAGCACGGCGCGGAGCTGCAGCGGGCGCTGGATGCCAGCGAGAGGGAGATGCAGCGCTTGGTCATGGCACAGATGGAGGTGAGCAGACCCCAAGCCCTGGTCCCTCATCATGGGTCTGGGGTCTTGGGGCTGTGCCTGTAGCAGCAACATGGTGTTGTACAGCTGATCCCGGTCTGTCCCCTCCAGCCCTTGATGCAGGGTGTCACACAGGACCTCTCTGCCACCCTGTCCCCATGCTCCTCTCCATCCCCAGCGCATCCGAGCTGAGTTTCAGCCCCAGGTCTAGAGGAGGTGGTTATCCATCACTCCTCGGCACGGGTCTCATGGGGGTCCTGGAGGGGTTATGAGCGTCCTGGTTGCTGTCCCGCAGCTGGAGACGCAGTGCCGCAGCCTCCGCAGCACACAGCAAACCGCTGCCACCGAAAACCAGCAGCTGGAGGAGAGCAACCGGGTGCTGGAGGATCGCCTGCAGCATCTCCACCGGCAGCTCCAGCAGACCCACGGGCACCTGCGGGCTGCCAGGGCTGCAGCAGCTCAGGGGCACGCGGAGGAGCCCGGGTGAGCACCCAGCGACCGGCATCTCCCTCTGCACCAGCGCGGTTTCCTCCTGGGGGTTACAGTAAATGGGGAATGAATTTGATGGGTCTCAGCCCGCGGTGCTTCTGTGGTCTCCATGGTGCAGATTAATCGTGGTTTGGTGTGAAAAGCATCAGAAAAAAAGCCAGGACTATCAGCACCGTGTCCCCGTAGGGCAGCGCCAGCAGGGATGGGGACATCCTTCACCCAGAAGGACCCAACCAGGACTGGTCCAAGGGTTGGGGGGTTTTGCTGTCCTGCTCCAGCCCATCGCTGCCTCCGGGGCTGGGGACAACGCCGGGGCAGGGACAGATGTTTTGAGGAGGATGCCGTTGTCATTTCGACCCCTGTGCTCTGTGTTTGCAGGGACAGAGCGGTGGCAGAGCTGCCTGGAGAGATGTCCCTGTCCCCATCCCCACAGGTACCACAGCTGGGGACATGGGGACGGGACAGGGTGTCTGTGCCCTGGGGCATCGCGGCGTTTGGTTTGGGACCCCGGGGAGTCCCAGAGCACAGGGTGCTCCTGCAGCAGAGGCAGTGCCTCCCTGAAAAGCTTTCTGAAAGCAGGTCAGCAGGGTGCCCTGCAGGTGCTTGGGAAGGGAAGGGGGTAGCTGATACCCCTGAGATTTCGGGTGGGTGCACCTGGATACCTGCCGGAGAGCTCAGCATCGTTTCACGTGGATACGCTTCATCACCAAGTGCTTTTCTCTCGTTTCTTCCCATCCCGTTTGCTGCAGATGAGTCCGGAGAAGAGCGAGAAGCGCCGCTGCAAGGCCAGGATGGGGTCCCCGAGCACCGAGCCCAAAGCCAGGAGCACCCACCACGTGTAAGGGGTCCTGGGGACCAGCTGCTGCTTCAGCTCCTGCCCTGAGCACCCAAGTCCTCCACCCTCCCTGGGCAAACCACGATATTTATTCCTTTTAATACTCCTTTCCCACCCACCCATCTCCCATCCTGGAGAGCAGATCTCTTACCCCAGCTCCTGCCCTGGCCCAGAGTTGGTTTTTTATCTCCAATAATGCAAATGTGGAGACTGGGAAGAGGTGTGCTTGCTTCCTGGGCAGAATACGGCCCCGGGTCTGTCTCCCTGGGTGTGTGTGTCCCCTTTTCCCCCGTCCCCAGTCATCGCCTGGGTGAACCTCCCGTACACTCGGAGGGTAAATGCAGCCGGGTTTGGGGAGGGATGGGGGGAGGAGGGACCCCCCAGTGACAGCCCAGGTGGACGGGAGGGAGCTGGAGCCCGACGTGGGGACTGGACTGACTCCCCCCTATTTTGTGCTCTTTCCAGGGTTTGGGAAAAGCTGCCAACAGAAATAAGCATTTTGGGAGCCCCACCAAGAGCAAACGCCACAGAAGAGGACCCCTTCCCAGAATTTCGGAAAGAGGAATGCTTTTCTGACCAAAGCTCTTTGCTAAGAGAGATGAATGATGCCATCGCGGCTCTGAGCAAACAGCTGAAGTTGCAGGCACTGGATGCACCCCCTTCACCGGCTCACCGGCACACGCTGCCCGTCACCCCCAGGATGGTGCTGAGCCCCAAACGGGGATGGAGAGAGCCCCAGCCCATGGCACAACCCCCAGGGTCCTGCCTGAGACCTTCTCCATCCTCGTCGGTCACGAGCTGTTTGAAGGGGACCTGAAAGAGGGACCAGAGGTGACACAGGCTGGTGCGTCCGCGGGAGCCGGGCACCGCAGGGCTCAGGAGCTGGGGACAGAGCAGGGAGAGAGCCCGGAGGAGGCACAGAGGTTGTTATTCCTGCAAGGAAAGGGCACTGGTGGGAAGGAGCAGATGCTAAAGGCGGCCGAGCATCCGCAAGGAGCAGCGGGAGAGAGCGTGGAGGCAGGAGAGGAGGTGCTCGAGGTGGAGGGAGAAGGGTGGATGCAGGAAAAAACAGGTTGGGAAGAGGCAAAACTCTCGGGAGAAGCTGAGGAAGCGGCATTAAACCAGGGAGAAAAGCTGGAGGCAGGTCTGGGGCCGCCTGAGGCTGGGGAGGCAGCGGGACGGCGGCTTGGCCCAGCTGCGGGCGCAGGGCTGGAGGAAGAGGCTGATCCACCATCGGAGCTCTCCGAGAAACTCGAGATAAAGCCTGGAGAGCACCTGGAGCCAGAGCCACCGGCCTGGGGTGGGGTGCCAATGGGAGCAGCCCATGGGGACAATGTCCTCCTCGAGGTGACG